GCGTGCATGATTGACTGGTTTTTATTTTATTTTATTATTAGTTTGTCCTGAGAACTTGCTAAGATGAGAAATGCTAAGATGTCTTTCAACATTATTTATTTTTCATTGAAATAATACCATCTCAATGAAGATAGATACTTCAGGGAAAGAAAAGAAAACAAACGCAGAACAGTTTTGTTGACATTATTCATAAAAGAAGATCATATCAACTTGTACTTTAAATGGATATATCTTGCACGATGGACTGCTCTATCGATATTAATCTGCTCATATGTTTATGATATCCTGTGAACGTATTAAGATGTTCTTCAAAGTATTTTTCTTTCCCTGAAGTATCTATCTTCATTGAGATGGTATTATTTCAATGAAAAATAAATAATGTTGAAAGACATCTTAGCATTTCTCATCTTAGCAAGTTCTCAGGACAAACTAATAATAAAATAAAATAAAAACCAGTCAATCATGCACGCTATATCCGTACTTCTTTTTATCGCTTTTTTACTTTTAATCTTGTTCAATGATCTTGTGTTATATGTTTTGAACTTGTTTTGAACTCTTCTATCATATGATGGAAACAAAAAATATCGATTCTACTTAAAAAAATAACAAGGTGACAAGGTGACAATAAAAAGGTGACATTGATATCTCTGAAGTGCCTCCACCTGGACAAAAGTCATTATCGCCATATTATAGCCCTTTTTGTACTACGCTATTTGATTATACAAATTTTCTATATATAAAAACAGCGACCGTCGCTTAGTATATCAACTCCATTACAATACATACAATTATTCCCCTTACCCTTTGGGCTTCACCTTCGCGACAATTCGCTCCGTCCATATTCTTACGTTTATAGTATATATTATGTGTATGTGTATGTATCAATAATGACATTATATTTCATTTGGACATTTAGTTTGATTTTAGTGATAACGAGAAGTAGATAGTGTATTTTTTTTCTAAAATAGAAAAGTCGGAACTTTTTAAACTATCCTCGTACATAATTGTCATTAAAAATTAAGTTTTTGTTACAAATTATCAGACAGTCTAGAGAAATAAGTTTAAAACAAGATATACAAAGTTCTATAAAGAAGAAATTAGAAGTATCATGTACAGTCTTAATAAATCGTTAAAAACAATAAAAGAGGGATAGGACAGAGGAAGATCCTTATAGAAATATCATACTAAGAATCATTGATAATTACTTATAACCAGTATTTTTAATACTGAAAATAAGTAATTATCAATGATTCTTAGTATATTTCTATAAGGGGAGAGAAAATATTTCTTAAAAATTACATAAATCAGAAACTTGGTTTTGCAATTCCCTGCATAAATGCACGTTTTGTCGATACTTTTAAGTCTATATTAGAGGATTTATAATTTGCGACAGAATTCAAAGCTATTGATTATAATAAAACTTTCAAAAAAGTAACATTATACTTTCACAGTATAATCAATACTTTCACAGTATTTCAATGTATACACTTACATATATAAATTTTTAAATGTTTTTTGTTATACATTATCTAAAATAAAGAAAAATACAAATAACAAATTCTGCCGCGGATTGTATATAACATAATCTAAGTGGCCTAAAAAATAGCTAATACACACACACATACACACGCGTGTGTGTATGTATGCGTGTGTATATAAATATATATAATCTTAGTAAACCCAATTCTCGTAATATTTCTCTTGAGTATTTTTTTCGATACATACGTCAACATGACATGAATTTGTATTAATAGTTATTATTTGAAATTAACCTTAAATAAAATACTCAGATTTAAATTTAGATATGTTTTTAGTTAAATCGCGGTTATAAATTTATAATGCCATTTATATGATTCAAATAACAAAAACTTAAATCTAGCTCTAAATTCAGATCTGAGTGTCTGAGGAACAAGTTTCAAGTTACGACTATTAATGCAGGCTATTTTTATTTATATGTAACATTTTCTGATGAATATATCCATCAGCAACTGTGTAAACAGTATATTTTACAACATATGAAACCACTGCAACGATGGATTTAAGACTAAAAAATGATAAAGAAGATTCACAACTTCTATTTAGCTGCACAAATTTGTTTCAGGTAACTGTCCCAATTATGGATAGAGTTTAATTTCGAATCCAACTTGGTTTATTAACATATACCCAGATAGCACAATGAATTCTTTAAGTGTTCCAAAAGTTTTCTCCTTTCTTGAATTGTACTTCTTTAGGAATTCGTGGAAGAATATTATAAGGAATTCATTGAGAAGAATACTATAAGAATGATTTAGGACATGCATCATGACTGGAGTTCCTCAGAACTCCTTAGAGTATTCATATAGATGTATACTTTATAAACATAGATGTATACTTTATGAATTCAAGAAGAATAATGTTTATACATAGAAAGAAAAATACAAACCCAGTAAACACTGACTAACATAAACATAATATCAATGTTATAATTTCCTATTTATCAATATAAATGTAACATAATGCGTGTTAGTTATATTCTTAAGTAAGAAATTATAACATTGATGTTATGTTACTGATAGTGTTTGCTTGAAGGATAGTCAATAAACACCAACTTAGTTGTAACATTACATCAATATAATTCTCAACAATATAACTGTTACGTACAACATATGTTATATGTACCACTTACACAGTTAACTGGAAAATCATAATATTGATGTAACGTTAATGCTTGTCAATGTTTGATAAGTAACAGTTCTTTTTTAACTGTAATAATTAAAATACATCCAGTTTTTCACTACATAAAAAAAGAAAGGAATCCAAAATTGTACAAGAATCATATAGAATAAAGAAAGAATTATATTAAAATAGTCACATTTTTAGGTTATAAAATAGCACTTTGTAAAATATAAACATAATTCAATTATATTCTCATGATTCAATTTACCTTTCTTTTTATCATATCATTTATTTGCAAAGCAAGTTATAACAATACACACACAAAGCACTGAAAATGATGTGTATCTGCTGCATGCAGCCACAAGAAATAATTGTAACAAACAAAAAACTTGTAATTTCTCACAAATTCTCAGAGTGTTCTAGAAATTAAGTTGCAAAGTATTCGCTACAATGAACTTCTGAGGAATACTTCAAGACAAACTTATTGTGGTTATTTCTTCATGAATTCTTTAGATATTCATTTTTCTAATTCTGTATGTATTCTTTAAAATTAATTCTCTAGGAACTTCTGTTTATCTCTGTGCTATCTGGATAGAAAAAGTACACATTATAATAATAAAATAGAAAATAATTTTGTAAATTCTTTAGTTATTTTACAATTATGTTCTAAAGTTATATATTCACATGATTTAATAAAAATATCTAAAATATATCATTTACTTTATTGACTTCAGATTTATGAGACTGTTAATATGTTGTGCTATATATATCATTATTATACATATGCCGAAACAATGTGTAAATTTGGATATTATTAATATAAAATTGAATATCGTATAATTCATTATATAGGGGCGCAAAATAATTTGCTGACTAATAATTAAGACTTATGCATAAATGTTTTTAATTATTTCTTTAATTAATATTTTTAAATTTAGAATTTATTAATTCAAACTCTGATAATTTTGTCTTAAAACTATAATATTTACTGTTTAAAAGTTTCGTATTAACAGTTCCTTTTGGTATTCAATCAACAAAATTGAGGGTTTGGGAACTGTTATTCAAACGAGAAAATGTTACATATTCTTATGTATTTTAAATTGTACAATTCTAAAATGTCCATGAAAATTAGGACTATAGCGAAGAAAATGTGGAAAATTAAGAAAAATTAGAAAAAACGTGAAATCTTAGAAAAACTCTTATACGTAATTTTTTTACGTTTACTCTTACGTTTTCTTGCGTTATATTTTTTTTGTTATTTTGAATCGCAGAATCTCGAGTCAACTATTTGGAGATACTCAACATATGTGCAGGGTGTGCAAAAAATTCCGGCTCGGAAATACCTCGAGAAATATAGTTGTAGAAAAAAAAGTTTAAGACAAAAGTTGTAGGGCTTAAAAACACCTTTACTCTCTTTATCAGTTTAACCTTCGGTTACGTCGCCAAGATCAGGTGAAGATCACTTTGAATTTTTTTAATAGGAATTCCTTTCGGCGCGTTGCGAAATGTGTCCAAGGGAGCTGCAAAAAAATTGGTGTCGATCCCGAGGCTTTTTCTATAAGTTGTACCGGATGAAGAGGGGCAACGGTGGAGACGGGCATACATGGACAGCAGCCATGGGTGGATCTTAAAGGATAGCAATATTTTACTTTGAGAGACTGACAGCTGTACCATTTGGTACAGTAACAATGTTTCTTTCTGTAGTCGCCGTGCGCTCGGGATCGCGCCGGAGATGTCACTTCCAAATGGCATCTCTAAGTGTTATCTATGGAGGCGAGAGTACCGTGAACGTGGAGCGTCAGGTAGCTCAGTGGTTTAGAGCAGTCGCCTGGCAAGCGAAAGAGTCCGGGTTCGAGTTCCGACCTAGCAAACCGCGCTTTTGATATTTTTCTCTTTTTAGAACGAAAAGATATGTAGGTCCCGAACGCACGGTGTCTCGTCGCTACCTAGTACACTCTCCTCCTGCTATGGTCCCTTATTTTTTATTACGTATTCTTATAGTCGTCCTTGAGACTCTTTCAAAGTGCTATAATTATATTCACACCATGTCAGTTCTTTCGATGTTATCGAGGTTTTTATAGTAAGATATCCAGCCAATGAAGTTAAGATTCGTATTGCATATGCCTATGTGCAATTAAGCGCGCTTTATTATTATAAATCATTATAATAATAAAAATAATATATGTCCTGTATATTCATTAATATACTATCAAAAATATATTGAATAAATATCGGCAATAAAAAATAAGGGGTCCCAATTAAAAAAATCAAGGTAATCTTCGCCTAATCTTGGCGACGTAACCGAAAGTTAAACTGATAAAGAGAGTAAGTAGATATTTTTAATAGAGTAAAGCCCGATTGGACACAAAATATAATGATTGGTTAAATCTAGTTGGATTTAGTAATTCACTAAATAAAGTAGAGCACTGGCTGGTGGTGTGCAATCGGGTCCGTGCACAATCAGGACATTCCTACTTTTAAGCTCTACAATTTTTGTCTCAAACATTTTTTTTCTACAATTATATTTCTCAAGATATTTCGCCGAGTTTTTTTGCATACCCTGTACATATGTTGAATACATCCAGATAGTTGATTCGAGATTCTGCAATTCAAAATAACAAGAAAAAAAACGCAAGAAAATGTAAGAATAAACGTAAAAAATTACGTCCGGGAGTTTTTACGATTTTACGTTTTACCCATTTTTCTTAATTTACTACATTCTTCCCGCTAATGCCTTAATTTTCATAGTCATTTTCAAATTTTACGACTCAAAATACATAAGAATATGTAACATTTTCTCGTTTGAATAATGATTCCCAAACCCCCAATTTTGTATAACCTCTTTTATATAAAAATGAATAAAAGTTATTTTAACTTTAAATGACTCATAATTTGAACAGTTACCTTATCTTTAAAAGAAGTGCTCTTGTAAAATGATTTTGTACCTCCAAACAGATTGTTAAACTACAATCAAATGTTTATGGCTTAAGTACATATGAATTTGATACAAATCATAACTCAAGTGAAAGGACCTCGCACAAAACCTATGGAAAATGGTTTTCGGTCAAATTGGCTGAAATTTCACTATGTTATAGTTTTCGCCATGCTGATAAAAAGTTATCATTGCACCAAGTCCCAAAAGTCAATATTTCCCAAGATATAAAGGGTCAAAGTAGTGAAATATGG